GAACTGATGTATGTCGGTGTTGAACTGATGTATGTCGGTGTTGAACTGATGTATGTCGGTGTTGGATTATGGACCAGTTTGAAAGGACAATGCGCAGGGACTTTAAGGTCGGTAGGCACTTGCGATCTGCAGAATCGAAGAGAATGCCATTGCTCGGGTGTCGATGTTGCCTTTAAATCCTACCACATCTGTTCACTCCCGTTGATGATTCTGTGAGGTTTCGTGTGGTCGCATAAAGTAACTCGAGTCCGAGTCTCAACGTCATGAGGGCCAGATCGATAACCCGGTCCGAATTAGGTATCCATTGATGCTAAAGCTGACAAATAAGAAGGTTGCGGCCAAAAGTAATGCCATCATACCAGTAGCCTGTCCTTATTGCTACGATGTCGGCGACAACATACTCCTTACACCTCTAACATCAACGGAGCTGGGCAATAATTTCGTTTAGCCTCCCGTCAGCCTTGATGCTCCCTTACCAAGTGCTAAGAAGACGGTACCTTACTCATGAAAGATGTCTCCGAGCAGAGAAATAGTAGCATGCCGAATCTTGCTTTGCTCAACGCTCACACTAGTACCTGGTTCCAGTTTGTCATGCCATAAACGGCATTCACAGGTACCTACTAGTAGTCCCTCGTCACGCACAAGAGCCCTGCCGGGCTATTCTCGACGGCAGCGGCACGAAAATTCCTCGATCTATTCCGCATGAGCCGTCAGACGTTCGATGGGCGAGTTAGCTGTGTACCTAAATTGAGTTATGTGAACAATTTCTCGTCTTGCTAGCATTGGCTCCCTTTCATTTCCATCCTCTCTAGCACCTCTCTCTCCCTCTGGACCCTCTCGGACACCGAGCTATTCACCCTCCGACGATCTTGCGTCCCTCTCCTCTTCTGACAGCATCTTGGCACGGCTAGTACCTTCTTTCCTATATATTCCGCCGGATCTACTGCAAATGGTAGGTATTTGTTGGCATATGCTCCCCCATCGTCATCCATCTCGATGATGTTAATCTGTAACACCTCTGGATCGGCATCGTCGGCGGGAACGAGGTGGTCGAATGTGACGCCATAATAATCGATGTCTCTAGGAGTAGTCATAGACGGACAAGGTCAGCCGAAGAGCAAAAGGACTATTATCTACAGCGGAACTCTTGAATGCCCATTGTCGGGCGGATACAAATGCGTACTACTTACGTCAATGGCGTCACGCCCATCACCCAGCCCAAATACTCATCCCGTACAACCATATCACCAGGGACCTCTGGACGAACTTCCCGCCCGTATAGTTTCTGAAACGCCAATCTTGCAAGCTCCAAACCGGCCGGCTGTGGAAATATCAGGGACGCGGGATTAGTATTCCATGATATCCCCCGAAGGAGTTTTTGAATTGATACCAGTGGACCTTCGATCTGGATTCTCAGGGGCTGCTCCGGTGGTGGGGGATGGAGTGGGTGAGCGGAAGCGTGAGCGGAAGCTCCGATGCAAGGCGGGATGTGAAGCTCGAGAGCCATTGAAGATTGTAAAGAAGATGGAACCAACAGGTCTACAATGTGGAAAAAGAAGAGCAAAATGACAAAATCCTGGGCGACCCAGGAATCGAACCTGGGTTTCTTCGGATTTGCATCGCCACAACGAAGCGTCCTGACCACTAGACTAGTCGCCCTTGATTCTGATAGGCCAGTCTAAGACACTTCCAAGATGTAAGCTGCCGCTACAGCTGTCGCTAGGTCGTTCATGAAGACCGTGATGTTGAGATCCGCGACTCAGTACTTACCTATTGATTGAGTTACGGAGGATTCCCACTAAGATCTTAGCTTCTCCTTCAGCCCGCTTGTCTCAACCCGGGGCCTCTTGATATGGATAATGGGAAGCTGAATATTCCGTGTTCGGTGTTCCACGGAGTTTTGATATGTAAGGTGGCGCAGCGAGTGTAACGAGTCGACAATCGAAAGACCAGAAGAGTCTTACCTAGAAAGTAAACAGGGGCTTCGAAAGCGAGAGGCGTATACGTATAGCGATACGCTGGTAACCTACCCAACCTAGATATCCTGCTTGGTAATCCTTGAATCTAGCACTTAGGGCCGCTCCTCGCATTAAATCCGACCAGATTTGCGAGCTTGCCGAGGTCCTATGTCTTTGTCAACATTAAGGCAGGGGTGGGTGTAAGCGTTACCCACACACATGCCGTCATCTTAGAGCATAAGGTAGAGGTATATAGTGCCCTTTCTCAGCGTTGGTTGATGGATACATGTAGTTCGAACTGGTCAACAGTCCGCAGACTGAGCCAGTGCAGGTGCTGGGCCTTCGAAATCACCTCAAGAAGCAGACCCGCCTCGCGGCCCTTGTTGCCCAATATGAAGCACCTTTCCTTCTATACGAGCACTGTTGTGTTAGCAGCGATCCCCTTGACCGCCGTCTTTGCACATCCGACTTGGATTGTTGGGCAAACCGTTCGAACCACCAGTGGCCCCGTTGACGGACACGCTGCATCCGTTGCTTCTGGGGTATCGGAATATCTCGGTATCCCTTATGCTCAGCCGCCAGTGGGAGGGCTTCGATTCCAACCCCCGGTCCGGTACAAGGGGACTCGAAAGCTCAATGGAAAGGACTTCGTGAGGCCACTTGGTCGTCTTTCGCTCGTTCATCGTGGACTGGCTGACAAATGACAAACTCAGGGGCTTGCGTGCTATCCTTCCAACATCACGGGCTATGACGCGGATTTCCCCAAGGAACTGGTTGAGCAGTATGGTATCACAGACGTAGGGCTCAAAATCATCGAGTCCATCCTAAATCCGGGACTCCCAGTTGGCGAGGATTGTCTCACTCTCAATATTTGGACCAAACCGCAGACCGGCACCAAGCGCAAGGCGGTGATGGTTTATGTTCACGGCGGATCGTTTGTTTCTGGTAGGACTTGGCCGACCCCCCCTGGCTGGTTTGATCTTTATTCAGGGGCAGGATCTGACAATGGTATAAAGGAAGCTCAGCGGAGCGCGTGTACAATGGCCAATTCTTTGCTGACCAAGAAGACGTCGTTTTTATCACGATCAAGTGAGCATCACGCCACTTTTTTCCATACCCCCTATTCCAGTTCTCCCGCTAACAAGATTAATTGCAGCTATCGACTCAGCATTTTCGGTTTCCCCGGCAGCCCTGACCTGACGCAGAACCTCGGCTTGCTCGACCAGCGTCTAGCACTCGAATGGGTGCGGGACAACATCGCCTCCTTTGGCGGCGACCCCTCACGCATCACTCTAGTCGGTGAGTCGGCAGGCAGCGCATCCGTCGACCACCACACCTTCGCCTGGGCCAATGACCCGATCGTTTCAGGCGTGATTCTCATGTCCGGGACGGCCAGAGGTATTGCCCCAAGAACACCCGAAGCCGGGGCCGCGTCCTGGTACAACACAACCTCCTTGCTAGGCTGCGGCGACGCCACAAGCATCACCTCACCCGAAGACCTCCTCCGCTGCATGCAAGCCGTACCGGCAGCTTCCATCATCAAGACACTAGTCAGCACTCTCAACAGCCCCACCAGCTCCCCCTACTCACCGACCATCGACAACCAGCTGGTATTTGCAGACCCCTCCACCCGCCGCGCGGCAAAGGTGGCCATGCTGGTGGGCAACACGGACAACGAGATGGCCTTGATGCGCGTGCTTACCGCAAACGACCCGGGCGATGCCCTCGTGCACGAGCTGAGCCAAGTCACGTTTGTGTGCCCGGCCGCGGCGCGCGCGGCCCGCTCCGCCCGCGAAGGGAACCCGACCTGGCGCTACCGCTGGCATGGCGTGTTCCCCAACACCCAACTCGCCACGCGCCCCGGGCCCAGTGGTGCGTATCACTACTCGGAGGTGCCGGTTGTGTTTGGCAACGTCGACCAGAGTTTGGTGAAGAATACCAGGGCAGAGGAGAGGGTGAGTGGGTTTGTGCGAGGAGCGTGGGCGGCGTTTGCGAGGGATCCCGTGAAAGGACTGCTGAGATATGGCGGTGAGGGTGGGTGGCCGAGGTATGTGGAGCATGAGAGGACGTTGGCGAGGATTGGGTGGGAGAATAGGACGGGGCTGAATTTGGAGGTCGGGAACCGGTATGATCAGGGGTGTACGGAGGAGGGGAGTACTTGAGGAGTGTAAGATTTTAGAAGGGCTGTTGCTGGAGAAGCTGATTTATGAAGACGAATTGAGGTAGGTAGGTAGGTAGCTTGTAAACTAAGAAAAGGGGGCGGGGATGGGTACATAGGTATGCTGAGAGAACAGTCAAGAGGATAGTAATGAGAACGAGCATGATTTTCTTACTACTAGTACCCTAGGCAACAAGATAGGTACCCTAACGAATGGAAATGGGCAGTGTTACGACTCCTGATGAAATGATTCCTACATATATGGCCTTTTACAGAAAGTAAACCATGAATCGTTGTTCTTTGAAGTCAAGTCTGCAGTAGCAATGTCAGAGACCCCTATTCTTCCCGGCTAGGATACGGCAGATTAGGTACCTTAACTAAGGTACCTAGGTAACGGATCTATCTAAACTTACTACCTAGATACAAGTTGCTATTCCATAGGATAACTATAATCACCTCAGCCAGCTTTGCTCTAGCACAATCAATCCACGTCTTGCACTCCCGGGTCGTCATCCAGGTCCCTACGTATGGTGTCTCTGAAATCATGATCATAGTCCTCAGCTCGCTTCCCTCAACCTGGGTCAACCGCTTCCATCCACTTCCACCCACATCCCAGCCGGAATGCGGCCAGTCATCGTCCTGAAGGTCTCAACCTCGGGTTAATGCGCCAAGATAACTGAAACGTTCTCCCGGGCTTTATCTCCTCGTAGTCTTCCTCAGAATCTCCGTCCCGGAACTCAAGCATCTCCCATTCCGACTCGTTCTCCACCAGATTCAGCTCCTCGTCAGCGCCTTGGGCGTTAACATGGAGTCGGTCCATCCAGTCCTGATACGAGGTTTTGCCGCCATCCATGGCCGTCAGCAGCAAAGCGTGTCCCCACTGCTCAGCATGCCCAAACCTGTCAGTTTCCTCTTCAGCCACCGGAGATGGTGAGTTACGTGGGGGGCCCAAGATAGAATTTTCAGCGTAGTGTAGGTCATAATTGAGCCTAATCATCGGTTCCATGTCACGGTCTGACCCTTCTTCCTCTAGGCCCGAGGGAACGAAGCGATGAAATTCCGAAGCCTGCTCCGGCTTGGGGCCCGCTGGCTGATGAGTCGAGAACGGGTATACCCCTGGCGGCGTTGTACGGTTCGGACGCCCCGGCAGCTTCCAGAAGGGTTCACCAGCGGTGCGCGCCTTTCTTGCTGCTGCAACTTTGTTAGTCCACACGTATATCGTATTGTATCCGCGGTTGACGCGGCATTAACAGCAGGACTCACTACTAAGAAACCTCTCGTCAATGACACCCGTCATGGGAGGCTGACCTGGAGCGTCGGGAAGGGTCAAACATGGCCGGATCTGACTTGCTTCAGGGATTGCTTCATATTGTTGGCAATAGGGGATTGCGATAGGCCGTGTGAGCATAGGATCAGCTGGCAAAGCGTCTTGGAGGATTGAGGTGCATCGGTCCATGATAGGCCGAGGGCAAGCGGGGATGGAGGAGGCTGTGTAGGCGGCACGAGTAGAGGGGCTCTTGAGTTGTACTTATTCATTCCCCCTGGCACCTGGTGCCCAAGCGTGCATAAGCCTCATAAGGCTCTGCTTGGTCACCTGTCGTGAATACCCAACATTTGGACCGGGTGGGGATTTACACTGGTCCGAGTCATCTGCCGGTCTGTCCCAAACCCTACCGTTTGTGCGAGTTGCGGTTGTAGGACATGTAGCAGTAGTCGGGTGGAATACAGCTCTTGGCTAAGTTGGCTTGTAGCCACTCGTTTCTCTCTTGCTGCTGTGATACGCGTAGCTAGGTCGTCAGCCTCATGTCGGGCACCGTCAGGGACTAGCCCCTGAAGCACCAGTCATGCATCACGCCCGTGCAGCGTGCTAAGCTAAGATAGGACTTATACATGCGCATCAGGAGAAGCGTGCAGAGGTGTAAGGCAGGTGCCCACCCCTTTCCTTTCAGGCTTTCGCCACAACTTTTAAGTGACCGAACAGCACGAGGCTCAGGTGCGTAGGCCAGGGAAAAGCCCACGGGTACCCGAACGGGTCGAGCCCGTTGGACCGCGGACTGGTGTAGGCCGGTACCCAAACATAGTGGGTTCCTCTAGGCTTAACCCACCAACCCAC